AATTCAACTGTAAACCTAAAAATTTACAGCCAATTTTGAAAGAGATGCATCTTAGCTCTGGAAATTGTTATTGAATATGTCAGTGCTGTTGTAATAAAATGCTTCTTCTAAGTATGTGGTTATTAAATAAATAATTTTTAAAAAACAATAATTTGGGGGCTAGAGAGATGGCTCAGCGGTTAAGAACACTGGTTGTTCTTGCAGAAGACTGGGGTTAGAATCCCAGCATCCACATGGCAGCTAACAACTGTCAGCAACTCCAGTTCTAGGTGACCTGACAGCCTCTTCTGTCCTCCGTGGGCATTGCAGTACACAGGTACACTTACCTACATGCAGGCAATACACGCATACACATAAAAAATAAATAAATAAAATATTTTAAAAAATACAATAATTTGGCTGGGCATGGTGGCACATGCTTTTAATGCCAGCATTCAGGAGGCAGAGGCAGATGGATCTCTGTGAGTTTAAGGCCAGCCTGGTCTACATAGTAAGTTCCAGGTCAGCGGGACCACAGGGAGACCCTGTCTCAAAAGACCCCTACCCCAAAAAAACCCCACAGTATTTTTATTCTTTGGGAATTTCATATGTGCATTTATTTTTATCATACCCCTCACTCTTACCCTTAACTCTTCCCAGATGCAGTCCTCCCTAACCCCTGATCAACTTTGTGTCCTGTCACTGTTTTTCCAATAGTCATTTGGTTTGTCCAGAGTTTATAGCTATTCTCTGGGAAAGGATAGATCTAACAGGAGCTAACTGACCATACTAAAACTGGAAAACACCACGATTCATTACTCTTTAAGTTTTAAAAATGTCACAGGGAGAAAGTGGCAAGGGTAAAGTCTGTTTAGCAGCAAACTAAGGTTCTGATGTTAAATTGTGAATTTAACTTATTAAGGTCTACAGTGTTCATGAAACTTTAAATCTGAAATTAATAAACAGTGCATTTTCATTAAAATGGATCTGTGTGTGTGTGTGTGTGTGTGTGTGTGTGTGTTGTATATCTGTGCATCCGAGTCTGTCTCTGTCTGTGTGAGTGTATCTACATGTGTGTATATATGTGCTCAGAGGCCAGAAGGAGGGTATCAGATTCCTTAAATTTGGGGTGACAGACGTTTACAGAAACCACTTGCTCCCACAGCTTGTTAGGTAGGTGCTGGGATCTGAACTCGAGTCCTCATGATTGAATAGCAAGCACTCTTAACCACTGAGCTTTCTTCCCTAGCCCAAAATTCGTTACTTTCTATTAGGCTTTTCTTGCTTTCATCAGTTTAATGAAACTATAATTAAAAGTCTATAAAGGGCAAATAGAGTTAAAGATTAAATATATATTGTCTGTAACTCTTTTAAGTAACTTCATTCATTGCATTTTTTTCAGCACAATAGGAGTTCTAAGGAAGAAGAGATGGAAGTAGAAAAGATAAAACATGAACTCCAGGAGAAGGAGAAATTAATTAGCTCTTTGCAAGCCCAGCTTACCCAGGCACAGTCAGAACAAGTTGCACAGGTAGGAGTGTGATTTACCTCATCATTATTAGGTTAACAAATCCCTAATATCCAGTACTTTATTATATGATAACTGTCCTTTTTTTTTTTTGGGTCTTTTGGTCCTTTGGTCTTTTGGTTTTCCTAGCCCCAGCTGGCCTGGAACTCACTCTGTAGACCAGACTGTGCACAGAGATCCACCTGCCTCTGCCTCCCAAGTTCTGGGATTAAACACGTGTGCCACCATGCCCCAGCAGTTAAATACTCAGTGGATTTCTATCCATTAGTTTCCTTCCCTGCGTACTCCCTACCTCTCCCTTATTTCCAAGTCTATTAATTTTATTAGAATAGGCATTGGTGTTTGACATTTTTGATTTCTATTTGTAGATACTCAATATACTCTTTCCATGTATGGTTCACATTATTTCCAGAAATGTTCTTGAATTATCTAATTTATAATGTCCAGTCTGCTCCTTTGATTTAGTTTTCTCCTTTGTAATTGTTACTTGTATGTTTGGTCTTTATCTTCAGTATTTACTGTTTTTCTCAATTGCTTTATATTCTTCATTACATTTTGTAATTTCATTTGTAAAAAAGAAATTGTTCCAATTCCTTTTTCTTATTTCATTCAAGGCATTCTGTTTTGTGCTACTTTGTTGTTGTTTTGTCTTCTGGTCCAGAATGGTTTTTCTTTTACGTCAAATTCTTCATGAGCTTTGTTACCGCTCTTGAATTTTTCTAATTTTGACTTTCCTTTAATGTCCTGTATACTGTAAAGAAAGTCTTCAACTCTTTTTGAAATGAGTTATAATTTCTACTTGGTTTCTAAGCAAGCCTTTAGTATATTTTTATTCTCCTATTGCCAGTGCCAGCTGGCCAAGATGGACAGCACCTGAAAGGGGGAGTGAGGATTGAAAGAAAAAACAAGACAGAGAAAAGATACTTGGGAGGACTGTCAGTAGAGACTGCAGCCCCGGTTTATTTTAGCTCCACTTTTTTATGCAGTAGAACATGAGAGATAGCCACGGTTTGCTTAGCTCAATTAGCTTCAACAGCTGTTTTTCCCCACCTGTATCTGAGGGTCAAGGAGTAGTCAAATACTTGTTGTGAATTCCACCATTTAACCATCTTCCCTAAATTATCAACACATTCTTCCTGACTTGGCAGAATAATTAGGTACTGGTGTGCAAAACACAAACTCTAAGCAAGCAAGCCTGCCACAGCTCAATGTACATAATGGTGGTGCTTATATTAATAGCTCCCAACATCTCCCCCTTTTAAAAAATTTTTTATAACCCCAGATTATGCTATATCCAGGACAGAAGGACTGTGCCTGTCTTAGGTTGTCTTCTGCTAAAGCAAAGCCTTACCCGTCATTGGCACACAGCTTCCATCAGCTACACCCTGTCTTAGGTTGACTTTCTCCCAGAAGATCTTACCCGTCTTTGACTACCGGCCTCAGTTAGGGAAGGGAGCGTAATCTCATATCCTGCACAGCAGCCTTGACTTGCCACAGGATTTCATAAATAACTTTACTGCCACCAGATGAAAACAAAGACATAGGAGGAAAAGCATGCCAAGTCCTGTTAAACCATTCACAATGGAAGTGATAGAGGACCACGGTGGTAAATGTTTGCAGAGAAATTTTTTTTCTCTATTATCTCTTGGCAGTAGCACTTTGGCATTGGTACAGTGTCCACCTCGTCCCACAAGCACACAGTCATCTACTTGCACACACCCGGACTTATCATTTTTAACAAAACAAATAGGCAACGTGCTTCCCGATCCCGAATAATTAAAATTCATCACCACTTGCATCACCAGGTGTTTTGAAGCAGGCTGAGCAATTAACTGAGAGTCATTCACAGTCACTACTATCTCTTTTTCCTCCCATATCACGGGGTGCAATATTGTGGATCAGGAACATAAGTCCAGCATAACTCAGCCAAGGTCACTTGCGGGAACATCATCATCAGCCACATTTGTCGCCTCATTATTCTTTTCCACTTCTTTTTCTGGCACTCGTCCGGCAAACCTCACCAGCCTTTCCAGCAGCCACCTGGCTCCATCCGCATCCTGCGGAAAAACACAAACATGCCTTCTTCCCCATATCAGTACAGGGTCGGGGCCATTCCATTGTCCAGTTAAAGGACCCTTCCACCTGACTTGGGCATAGGTATCCTGTGACCGAGGGTGCCACATTCTATCTGCTGTAGAATGGTCATTTCTATCCAAACTCAAAACATTTAAAATGAAAAGAGTATGATGTAAAAGATTACTTGATGCCTGGGGATATAACTCCCCCTTTTTTATTTTTTTGTAATTGTGCTTTTAAAGTGCCATGAGCTCTTTCCACTATAACTTGTCCTTGTGGGTTATATGGTATCCCAGTTTTATGCTCAATGCCCAATTGCAAACAGAAACACTGGAACCCCTGACTTGTGTAGCCAGAGCCGTTATCTGTTTTTATAATGTTAGGGATCCCAACTATGGAAAAGCAAGTTAAGCAATGAGTAATAACATTTTTTGTGGCTTCCCCTGTTTGTGCAGTAGCCATAACAAAGCCAGAAAATGTATCTATTGTAACATGTACATGCCTTTGCTTGCCAAAATCCGCAACATGAGTAATGTCCATTTGCCACAGTTGGTTAGGCTTCAGCCCTCTAGGATTAACCCCATAATGAGGAACAATTTGTGATTGAGGACAAGATGAGCATTGTCGCACAATTTGTCTTGCAGCTTCCCTAGTAATATGAAATTGTTTTCTCAAACTTTGGTTTTTGGTGATGAATGGAATGAGAATTTGTAGCTTGCTCTGAGTCAATCCTATAAGCTGAGTGGCTTTATCCGCCAAGGAATTCCCCAAAGGTAATGGCCCAGGAAGACCACTATGCGCTCTGAGATGTCCTATATAGCAAGGATATTTTCTAGATGTAATACTATTTTGCACTTGTCTTAACAGCAAACAAATTTGAACATTCCTCGTTTCAATAAAAGGCACTGTTTCAATTTCCTGTAGAGCTTGAGCTACATAATGACTATCTGTATAGAGATTGAAGGGTGTTGACGCCAGAAGCTGGAACGCTGCAGCTACGGTGTGAAGTTCCTCTACCTGTGCAGAAGGAGGGGAAGTTTGAAAAGAATAACTTTGCCCATAAATCACATAAGCTGCATGTCCATTAGAAGAACCATCAGTAAACACCGACACAGCCTGGGGGATAGGACTAACTTTATCTTAGGAACTACCAACTCATGCATATTAAGAAAGTATAATAATTTATCCTTGGGATAATGATTCTCTATCTGACCCATATAATTCGCAAATGCAATTGCCCATGAATCTACATTTTAAAACAACCATAGCAATTGCACTTTAGTGTAAGGAATAATAATTTGAGCAGGCTTGGCTCCAAAGTACTGACATGATTCAGTATGTAATTGTTGGACCAAGGCTGCTATGGCCTCATAATAAGGATTAATCACTTTGACTGGGGATACTGGTAGATGCACCCAAAGAAGAGGGCCAGCTTGTCAAAGTACAGCTGTAGGGGAGTCAGTGGTAGAAAAACACAACCCATCCAGGGCTGACTATAATCTATATAAGTAATTTGTTGCTGTTCAGTAGCATTTTCTACTAATTGGAAAGCTTGAAGAGCATCAGGAGTAATTTTTCTGCTAGGGTTGGGATCCAAATCTTTTAACACATCAAATAAAGGCTTCAACTCCCCTTTGGTAAGCCTCAGATGGAGGCAAAGCCAATTTATGTCTCCTAACAACCTTTGAAAAGCATTCAACATTTTAAAATTATCCTTCCTAATTTGTATTTTTTGAGGATTAAATTCTTTGGGATACATCAGTTTTCCTAGATAACTGAATGGAGTTTCCCTCTGTACTTTCTCAGGGGCAATACCTAGCCCGTAACTTTTCAACCCCTTCTGCAAGACCCCATAGGCAGACAATAGTAGTCCCTCAAGTTTATGAGCTAGAAGTATATCATCCATATAGTGAATAATATATACTTCTGCAACCCCTTCACAATGTAGGGAGTAAAAGAACCTTCATGTCCCTCCAGGTCCTTCCAATGTAGCTCATCACTACTTTGATACGGACTCTAACTTTGCCCTATGCCCTGCAAATTTGTCATGGAGGTATGCTTTGGCCAGGCTGAGGGCCATTGTCCTTCTGAAATTACAAATATATCCACCCCAGTGTCCAAAAGTCTTTTGAATCTTTTCCCATTAATAGTTCCAACTCAGGTTGTTGTTGACCGATAGCTTTTAGCCACACATCTAAACTCGCTATACCTTGTTCAGGAAACCAAGGACAAACCTTTCTACAAAGTCTAAAGAATTTACAAATTACTTATGTTCCACTTTTGCTCCTCGGGCCCGAAGCATATTCTTTAACATATGTACAGAGAGCAAGCGACTGTCTTCTTGCCCCATCTTCTCCCAAGATAAATACTCACCGCTCCCCAATCTTACCGAGTGCACTCAATTTCTCCAGTGGTGTCCTTCACTTTTTCCCCTACTTTTCAGGTCCCTGTTCTGGGCGCCACTTGCTGGTGCCAGCCGGCCAAGATGGACAGTACCTGAAAGGGGGGGGAGTAAGGATTGAAAGAAAAAACAAGAGACAGAGAAAAGATACCTGGGAGGACTGTCAGTAGAGACTGCAGCTCCCATTTATTTTTTCTCTGCCTGTTTATACAGAACATCAGAGATAGCCACCGTTTGCTTAACTCAATTAGCTTCAACAGCTGTTTTTCCCACCTGTATCTGAGGGTCAAGGAGCAGTCAAATACTTGTTGTGAACTCCACCATTTAACCATCTTCCCTAAATTATAAACACATTCCTCCTGACTTGGCAGAATAATCAGGTACTGGTGTGTAAAACACAAACTAAGTAAACAAGCCTGCCACAGCTCAATGTACATAATGGCTGTGCTTATATTAATAGCTCCCAACATCCTATAAGTGTATTATTCTACTTCTTAGTCTTTATGCTTTTGGTTTTGTTTTTGAGAGGGTCTCACACTGTAGCCTAGGCTGACCTGGTGCTCACTGTATAGTCCAGGCTGGCATCAGACTTTGACAGTTCTCTTAGCTTGCTGAGTGCTGGAATTACAGGTAAGAACCATCATGCCTGGCTTTTAATGTTTCTTTTTCTTTCTTTAATACTAATTTGATCTGGTATTTGGACTGGATCTTCTATTCCTCATTTTTGTGTGGAATTAGTTTTTCTAAACCTTTAGAAGATTTGTTTCAGGAAAATTTTTTCACAGCTTTCTCTGTTCTGTTTTTGTTTTGTTCTGTTTTTGTTTTGTTCTGTTTTTGTTGTGATACTCAAAATATATGGAAGCTAGATTTCTCAGATTTGTGATTTTCTTCTGCCTGCCTTTCACTTTGGTCTATTCTAGCTCCATTCAGTAGTGATAGCCAAACCCTGGAGTCAGCTTACTTGTTCATCAACAGATGAATATCTAAACAAACTGTGATATATCTACAGAGTGGAGATACCACTAGAAATAAAAAGGAATGAATGATATATCACTAGTCTGTATTTTAAACTTCTAAATACTTTTGAAGTAGAAAAGTTATTCAGTTTATGTTAAATGTTTATATTTTACTTTCCAATTATGATTTATCTTGATATCATCTGCTATTTATGCAGTCTTCATTAAGTGTTCAAATAAACACATTACAGTATTACATAGGGGTACACAAAAAAATTCAAACAGCATCAACTTGTTGACATCACCTTGTGTATACACTAGTTATAATGTACACCTCAGCAAACTCTTACTCGATGCAGCAGATAAAGTGAAACATAGTCATACCAAAACAAAACTGTATGTAATGGAAAAGCAATTTATACTTCAGCTTGAAACAATTTAAATAATATTAAAAATGAGACATTTTTCAGGTGTCATATTCCAAGCCTTCAGTAACTTCATGTGGTTAGTTGATACCAAATTATGCATATATATAAATATATATATATATATATATATAAATATATATTATTTTTTCATTCTTTCTTTTTTCAAGACACTGTCACATTGCTTCCCCCCCCTTTTGTTTGTATTATCCCTGTTCTGCTTTTGGTTTTGAGCCAGGGTTTTGCTGTGTAGCCCTGGGTAGGTTTGAATTCACAGTCCTCCTGTCTTAGCCTCCTGTTTTTAGAATCTCAGGCACGTGCCAACTATACTCAGCATTTTTTTTTTTTCTTTTAGTACTGGGGTTAGAAACCCTAGGCCTTGAGCATGTAGGGCAAGGAGTGTACTAGTGAACTGTCTAGTGAACTGTCTCTCTGGCCCTCTTCATTTTGATTTCATTCCCAGAAGTTTCTTCTAAGTATGTGTCTACATCTGCATCTTAGAATAGAGTCCTAATGAGTCAATTTTGAGACAACAGAGGGTCAAGATTACCTTAGCCTTTGGTCTTTCTTACTGCAGATCCCTTACATTTTCCCATGACCAAAGAGTGGCACAGCGCTGTTGCTGTTCTAAAATTTGCCACTGCCTGTTCCAACAAATTCTTGGCTTCTTGGATTTTTCCTGTTCCAGGGCCATCAGAAGTTGCTCTGTTGGCTGTCTTCTTCCTGTTATACAGTTTTTAATGCCATGCAAGTCTTCCTGATTTTAGTGCTTTTCCCTTAATTGTCTGTATTCTAGGATTGTAGGACTATCTTCCTAATTTTACTGTAAATATCAGACATTTTTTTTTTGGTTTTACTGTCTAGTTGGTCTGTCTCTACTATGTGAGCATTCAAAGAAATTGAAAACAGTGTTCCTATTGCTTCTGTCTTCCTCTGAAAAAATTTGGTAATTCCTATTAAAAAATAATATATAAGCAATGATACTTGAAAAATAGTACATGGAATTCTTTTTTGTGTTGAAGTGGAAATTAGAAGAAATGTGGTAGGTAATGAGGGGCAGTGAGAAAGTAAAGTCAAAGAATACTAATCCTTTGCTTAGAATAAGTATTTTTCTTCTCAGTTTGAAAAGAGTTCTGCAGAGGTGGGAGACTTTGTCATGATGAAGCAGCAGCTCCAAGAAAAGGAAGAACTTATTAGCACCTTGCAAACCCAGCTCAGCCAGACACAGGCAGAGCAAGCTGCACAGGTAGGAAGATGGGACCTTTACTACAGTAGAGAATCAAGGATGCCAAACATGGTTAACATGGAAAGTCAGTGTTTAAAGCTTTTTAGACAAAGGGCATTAAAGTTGAAATTCTAAGGGTATAGTAGAAGAAATTGGAAGTATGGTTGTGGTAAGTTATGTTGTTAGGGAACACTAGAAACCTTCAAAAAGTGTTATTTACCTTGATGAATTTCCATAGCCTAATTGATGGCTGTTCATTTGTTTCATAGGGTCAGAAACTTGATTTTAATAGTGCACAGAGACTCAGTCTCTTAGGAATGTGTTTATGAGGAATTCAGAGGATACTGACAGATAAACCAAAAGAAATACAGATGATTAGCTTCATTCTTTATGTGAATTAAAATCTTATTAGGAAGATAAGTTTTAACCTTAAAGTTTTAAATGATGAACATATGATGACAAAGTGTTTAAGGATCGGAGGTTCCTTGTTAAATGACACTAATATGTGCCATTCTTCTTCCTATTTCTGAAACCAGGGCCAGGCTGTTTGAACTGGCTTCCTCACTCAGCTCTTTCTGTTTTTCTCAGTTTCCTGTCTGACAACCTACCACATAGTTTTCCTTTGAGAATGCTTTTGAATCTGATACATTTTATCCCTGGGGTGTCATTGCACACAACTTATCTTATCCGTCAGAGATATTGATAACTTATAGTTATCAATGTGGTAATGCATTTTGTGTAAGAACTGCCTACTGTTGTACACAGTTAAAATTTTATAACCTGAAATTGTTAATTTTATCCTATTAGCTTCTATTGAGTCCTTATTATATAATACTATGTATAATGTAGGATGGAGAAATGTAATAGATTCTATTTTAACTTAAAAATTGCTTAAAATATAGACAACCAAGGCATATAAATATGTTGACAGGTCCATCATAGAACAGGCCATTCTAAGTAAATACCAACTGTAGTGGCACAAGCTTTTATTCTAGCACTTAGAAGGCTGAAGTGGGAAGATCATGGGTTCAAGGTCAGTGTGGGCTACATGACAAGTTCTATATAGTGAGAAAGTGATTCAAAAAAAAAAAAAAAATCATAAGTGCCCAAAGAAGGAACATTAAAATCTTAAACATTTGGAGAGAGAAACATGATTTACTGTGAGCATGGCAGTTACAGAAGGTTAAGTGGAAAATGGAAAAAGTAGAATTTAAGCAAAACCATGAGGGATAGGTAACACTCTAGACAAGTGGGAGGAAGGTGTTCTGGAGAAGAGTGTGGGCAAAGTCTCAGAGAAGAAACAGAATGCCATTTAAAGAAGAGAATGCTAGATATACTTGACAAGGAAACCACTGCAGTGCCTGTACACTTAAAATACAGCATTTCAAATTAATAATGAGGTCAGAATCTTGATAATCAGGAATTTTAAGGTTTTCTTTTCTTTTTTTTTTGAGACAGGGTCTCCCTACAGTCCCACCTGACCTGGAACTTGCTATATAGACCAGGCTGGCCTCCAACTCACAGAGATCCACCTGCCTCTGCCTCCCAAAGGATTTATTTTCTTTAACTTTTTTTTTTTTTTTTCTTCAGTTGTTAGCCTTAGCCTTTAACGGCTGCACTATCCCTCCAGCCCAGGATTTATTTTCTTAATGTACCAAGGTGATTCTGAGCAGTTCAAGCTATCACAAAATAAGAAATCAGCAGAAGTAAAGCCTAATGCAAAATAGACTACAAGCTAGTTAGTATCTCAATAGAGCGTAAGGAGGTGAATGAGCAGACACCATGTCTAAATACCAAGGAAATACTGATACCATTCCATTTCATTCTGTAAGAACCTGTTACAAATAAGCCTGGCCTGGAAGGCTGCAGGTAATGATAGCTAAGCATAGCTTTCTGAGGAGGTGGTGGGTTTGGAAGCACACTCAGTTCTTTAGTTATCAAATCCTTAAAAATCAGACTAGAAAGAACATATTTGCATTTCCATTTGTTGAGAGTCTTGAGTAACACCTGTGAGCTTGAATTGCTCACTTACAGGACATGAAAATTTCATTGGGTATTTTTGAGCATGAATATGATCTTGAAAGTACCCAGGGTTTAACAGAAGTCTAACTTCACCTTGTATGCTTCATTTTCTAATCTTTTCAGAATTTAAAAAAAAAAAAAAACGGGCCAGGCATGGTGGCGCACGCCTTTAATCCCAACACTTGGAAGGCAGAGGCAGGTGGATCTCTGTGAGTTCAAGGCCAGCCTGGTCTACATAGTGAGTTCCAGGACAGCTGGGGCTACAGGGAGATCCTGTCTCAAAAAGACCAAAAAAAAAAAAACCCAAAAAAACCACTTCTTGCATTAGTCTCGAGAATAATATAACTTCTAATTAAAATTTATATATAAGCTGATTTCTGAATTTGATAATGGCCCTTCTCTCACGTTTGGAAGTTACTGCCAGGCCTATTGTTCTTCTAGTGTTTTCATTCTTGATGTTCAGAGCTGAATTTTAGAAAACGTTGTCTCTCAGCAGTGCTTAGTGTCCATCTTTGGAGAGTAGGCGGTAAGATTTGCCTGTGAAATATTCTGGAACTGTAACTTGTATAGTTTCTCTGGTATGTGTCTTCAGTTGAGTTCCATGCAGCAGGTGGTCCGAGAGAAAGATGCCCGCTTTGAAACACAGGTTCGTCTTCACGAAGATGAGCTTCTTCAGTTAGTAACCCAGTCAGATGTGGAGACAGAGATGCAGCAGGTGTGTTGCTCAAACTCAGTAGAATGTAACATTCAATGAAGACATCACAGCCACTTTTCAACCACCACCCTTTCCCACTGCTCTCCACTTGACTGTTGTGTGTTCCTTACTGGCTTCTTGTGCTGTCCTTACTTTTTGTTGCATATCATTTTCCCCCCATTTATTCCTACCTTTTCTTTTACTTCATCTAATCAGGTCAGAACTTTACACCTGATTTAATTGGGGGCTTGATGTGGTTGTCCGAAATGGGCTGGTTTCTCTTTGTTTTGCTGCTTTCAGCTACCTTTCATGCACTAAACCTGATCTAAAGCATCAAATCAATGAAGGCAGTTTTTAAATGAAAAAAAAAAATAGAGGTGAAAATGAGTGACTTTTGAAGTCAGGAATCTTATTAAATCAATATTTTTAAAAAGTTCATTAGTAGATACTGAAAATTGACTTCATTGTATGAGTTCACCATCTACTAACTCACAAGTATTTGTTTTTACTTAGTATATAGTACAGTGCAGTTAAAAGGCACTTAATGTTTGATCTACTTTTGTTTGTTCGTGTATGAACATGTGCATGTGTGTGATGTGTGTGTGTATGCACAGAGGTGTGCATGTACATATGTGCAAACATACATGTGTACATGTATGTGCACACCAGAGGACAATTTTGGGTGTCTTTCCTCAGGAGCCTCTTTGTTTTTGTTTTGTTTTGTTTTGAGACAGGGCTTCCCATTGACCTGAGGTTTGCCAATTAGACCTGGCTAGCTGACTGGCCAGTAAGCCTTAGAGGGCCAACTGTTTCCACATCTCTAGTGCTGGGATTGCAGGTACACTCCACCAGGTCTGGCTTTTTTCACATAGATTCTGGGGAATCAAACTCAGGTCTTTGCAAGTACTTTACCTGAGCCGTCTCTACAGCCCCTGATCTGTTTTTTTTTTTTGTTGTTTTTTGTTTTTGTTTTTTTTTTAAACTGTGAACTTCTTCCAGGTTCAAAGAAATCTTTCAGAATGTACTACTAAGTAGGGTTTCAGAGTTCAGTAGTTTGCTGAGTAGAATATCAATTGTATATGTATCAGTCATTTATCCAGTGAGTGTTTTTCAAGTACCTGCCCTGTGCATGAAGATAGAAGAGAAATGGATTTTGCCTATAAAGAATGTTTTCTTTGGTAGGTATGATATGCATGTTATCTCTGCTATGTAGGGACAGGACATGAGCTATTTAATTTTCAAAGTGAATATGTATCACTTTTCTCTAAGCTTTAGAAAGGCTCCCTAATTCGAGGTCTTGCTTGCATTTGGGTTTGGTCATTGTCAGTGCTCTGAAGACGGCATTTTGGAGATCTTTATTGCTGCTGGATGGGACGTGGCATGCTGGTATCCCACTCTTTAATCTCTTACCTTCCATACTTGGAAACTTAACTATATATGACATTTTGGAAGAGTGTGTATTTCTTTGTGCATTATGTCTAAAATGTTTTCTTTTCAGAAATTGAGGGTGATGCAAAGGAAACTTGAAGAACATGAAGAAGCCTTGTTGGGTCGTGCTCAGGTTGTAGACCTGCTGCAACAGGAGCTGACTGTAGCTGAACAGAGAAACCAGGTACTATCTGCAGTCTTTACTGCCTGCCAGGGGAAGAAGGGTTCATTTTTACTGTAGGTGTAAAAGCCTGCTATAAGCCTTTAGAGAGTTGATGCATTTATTCATTTTTTTCAGCAAACACTCTGAGCCTAAGTGGTGGTGACCAATGATAAACACAATTCCCTCCCTAGTGGAGCTTTCAGCTTTCATCTTTGCAGTGCACGTTTCCTTTGGCATTTTAGGTCTAGAGTCTTACTTTCTGAAAAATTCCCATTTTCCCAATGTAGTAAGTTTCTTTTTCATCACATTACCCCTTCTCTGTCTTGAGTTGTTCTTTTTGCTTTATGCATGGTTTCTGCTTTGTCTATTTTTATCAGTTGACTTTCTGTTGGGTGATTCTAGAATGTGATATTCCCTTGAGTCTAAAGGGGATATGGGGTATTGATATTCTAAATCTTAAACCATGTATTTAATTCCCTGATTATAGTACGCCCTGCCATTCTCTTTCTCATAGTCCTGATTTTCATTATTGCTGAGGTCTGTTTAGCTTTCCACTTTGTTCCACCACTCTGTTACTTCCTTTGTCTCTGTACCATATCAACCCATGCTTGCCAAATTGGGCTTTTCTTACCTGCCTTTGGATTCCCTGTGCCCCTGTCCTATCATGATGTCCAAGTAGCCAAATCCTAATGCAGAATTGGTAATATAGTGCACATTCTTTGCTTGTTCACCTGAGTGCTATGTGCTGCTTGGTAAAGTCAGTCCCATCCTTTCCCTTTAATATTCAAATCTCCATCTTGAGACAGGGTGTCTTTCTAGTTTAGAAACATGTTTCCCTTTCCCATATCCTCCTTAAAATGTACTTTGACTCCAAGTGTTCTCTTTAGATGTCATCGGAATGAGCTTTTGGTCCCAATTGTGCTAGACAGTTATTGCATAGATAGTTACATATATGTGACCTTTAGCAAATTACATTTTAGTTAACAGCACTATGAATCCTTATAACTAACTACCTTATGCAGTATTGTGATGGCTAATCCTGGGTGTCGACTGGATCTGGGATTAACTGAAATGAGAGAGATCTTCTTGACTGGATCATCTGAAGCTGGAAGACACACCCTAAATGTGGGTGTCACCTTCTGATGGCAGCCCATATAAAAGGCCATGGCAGAGGAGAACGCTTGGCTTCTTGCTGCTTGCCTTTTGCTCACTGGTGAATTCGTTTTGCTGCTGTACATTGAAGACTAGCTGATCTTTTGGATTTTGTCAGACCTTCAGTGCTAAGGGACTACGGATTCTTAGCCTCTCCAGTGTGGTGCAGTCATTGTTGGACTACTCAGACTCTATCCTGTGAGCTAAGCTGATAAATCTTTATACATGTATATTAATTCTACTGGTTCTGTTTCTTTGGAGAACCCTGACTAATACAGATTGTGGTACCAGGAGTGGTTCTAGAGAAACAGAATTGAAGAGATGAATTTCTTTAATGGGCTTTTTGGTATTTGGAGCAGGCTCTCCGACTCAGAGTCTTCAGATAGCATGGAGAGCACTGAAAATCTGTGCTGTAGACTATTTGAAACAATTATGGAGATAGACCCATTTAAATCTTTTAACTCACCTCTTGTGAAGAACAAGAAATTTAGTGACTCTATACATAAAATATTTGACAATTTGTGGAAAAATAAGAGAAATAATGATGCTGGCTGGTGACTTCTAGCATCTCTGGATAAAGTGATGAAGATAAACAGTGAGCTTAATGACAAAATTGACAAGCTCCATATTCGAATCAACAGTTTAAAAGTTTCCAAGTGTGCCCTGGAAGAGAATCTTCTCTCCAGCAGCCAGAGAGCTAAAGCTGCAGAAAATCAAGCTGGAGCCCTTATTATATGTTTGGCTGACCTACAACACAAATTTAATTCCCAGCCTCGAAGGGTGTCAGCAGTAAAGGTGAGGGCATTGGTAGGAAAAGATTGGAACCCTGAGGGGGCTGAGGATTTAGAATCCTCAGATACTGAGGAATTTGATTCACCTGATGAACTAATTGCCTCACCCTCAGCAGACCCACCCTCCCCACCCTTGCCTGAGGCAACTAATCCCATTGAGGAAGCTAATCCCATTTAGCAAGATGAAGCTCTTGTCCCTCAGGACCCAGTTATTGTTGCCTCTAGACCTATAACCAGACTCAAAGCTAAGCAGGCCCCTAGAGGAGAGATAGAAAGTGTGGACCATGAGGAGGTGCACTACACCACTAAAGGACTTAGTGAATTTGCTAATTCTTTCAAGCAGAAGTCTAATGAATATGTCTGGGAATGGATTTTAAGGGTATGGGATAATGGTGGAAGGAACGTAAAATTGTATCAGGCTGAGTTTATTGACATGGGCCCCCTGACTGGAGATTTTGCATTTAATATGGAAGCTCGCACAGTTAAAAAAAAAAGGTGTTAAAAGTTTATTTGATTGGTTGGCTGAGGTATTTATCAAAAGATGGCCTACTGACAGAGAGCTGGAGATACCTGATATCCCTAGTCTTAGTGTTGATGAAGGGATTGTAAGGCTCAGGCAAATTGGTATGCTCAAGTGGATTCACAATGCAACACCAAATCCTCCACAATGGGAGGGC